TCCATTTGCCATTTAGTCTGTAGTTGTCTTTGAAGTATTTCAAGAAGTACTCCCTGACAAAGTAAGAATGCAGTTTTTCATGTGAGATTATATCCCTTGCAAAATATTCCCCCAGCAGCGAGAAGGAGACAGTGATGTAAGAAGAGAGCATTCCCTTCCTTGCTTTTTACTAGGTACTAAGAGGGTGACCTCTGTGATTCTCCCTATAGAACAGAGGCAAGAAAAACTCTTTGTCATGATGAAATCCAAACCCCCAATGTGATGGGGCACAGCGTGAACAGCCAGACTGTCATTTTGCTTTCCTTTCAGAAAACCCAAGCATGTGTCTCATGGCTGATGTTAAAGGTGACCTGCAAATGGGGGTTAACAATGAAACACAGTAAACCTGAAATGAAATGATTTTTTCTGGTTGTTTTTTGAAGCATCAGATATTTAGGCCAGTCTACCCTGTGAGATTCTGCACAACTGAAGAATTACCGAAATCGGAGCTTAAAATAGAATAAAAGGGAACTGCAGAAAGCAATAAGTGGTTTAGTTGGAGTTTTGAAACCTATAGATACTGGTTTAACTTCAGTAACTAAATAACATTTTGGGTAAAAGAAGCCTTTCTTAAGTGTTACAAATCCTTTGGTTCAGTTTTAAATAAACCCAGAGGCTCTTAAAAATTGTGCAGCAAAGCCAGAAAATACTAGATTTTATATTCTTTGTGCTTAGAAGATAAATAAAGGGGGGGGAACAAACCTACTTCAGGCTTTACTTGTCATAGAGGAAATAACAACCCGTATACTGTTAATTGAACATCAGCAACAAGTTAGGTGCTTTATTTCGACAAGGCTACTTTGTGCTCTTAAAGCTGAAAACCAATCACAGTTCTTAACTTGGTGAATCATTTAGAAGATAAACCAGCAGAGCTGCTAATCAGCATATGAAATTATGTGGCAAAACACATGTGAGATCTCTGCTTTCTCTGCAGGGCAAGGTGAGATTTAGCTTCCTCACAATAAAATGAACATTTTAAGGGGGTACCCTGCCCATGGCGTTTTGGGGGAGTGCATTTTTGCACTGCTCCATCAGTTTCACTCCTTTCTTGAATCTGGTGCTTCTGCCTCCCATCCTTCCATTGCTGGCTTCAACAGCAGCCTCGCTTTCAGCTAGACCCACATCAGTGATGCCTCGTCCAGTGGGAGCCAGCAGAGTTAACTATCAGCAAAACTACTTTCTGAGCTCTGAGATCAGTTCCTTCCCAGGATGTTGTGTCAGCTTCCCTACCTTCTGCCTGCCATTAATTTCAGTGGGCCCCCAGGTCAAACAACTGCCCAAAATCTGGAAAACAGCTGATGGTCAGAGCAGCTCCTACTCAGCATGTCCTCTCAGAGGGCACGCTCCTGGGCTGGTCCTTTTGAGTGGCTGGACCTGCTTGACCCAATTTGTGGATTTTTGATCATTCCCTTGGGTCATTGATTTTCCACTTGAGGTTATTGGTTTGACCCCCAAACCGTGGGTCACTTGGGAGGTGTGATACAGCCCTGTGAACTCTGAACTCATCAGGAGCCAACAAAAACAGGGAGGGAGGGGAGAAGAATTTCATTAGCCCTCTTCAGAGGTGGCAATGTCTGCCGAGTGAAAAGGCAGGGGCTGTTTGGCTTCTTGTAGAAACAAGCACAGCATCTACAAGGGGCTGCCAAGTAGAAAGTGTTTGCTTTGAGTTGTTATGGCAATTTGTTTAAGGATAAACAACAGCATATACTTTTACACCATGAGCTATCAAGTGAAAATGGTGCTGCTTCAGAGGAGACCTGTTCTTCCTGACAGGAACTGCCCCCAGTGTCCCGGACTTACTCCTGATCATAACAGCATTTCTACAGCCAGAGCTTGGTATCTGTAGGTTTTCCTTCTGCCTTAAAAAGGCTGACTTTGTCATGGTTAATTTGACTCACTTGGGAAAGGAAGGGCTGTTTCTTCTGTGTTGTAAGACTTGTTAGATGGTGGTTCATGTCAGTGGTTCATGGAGACTCCCCAGGCTGGTTGATTGCACTGTGAGCAGTTCCCTAAGAACCAGACTTCACTGGGTATGGCTGGTAGTTGGGGAAGAATGAATCCTCAGGAAATAACTTGGCTTCAACATGCAGTGCTGGTCATAAGGGGAAGAAAAGTGTTGTCACTGTAGCATATGTATCTGCCTGCGTGTCACCTGCTGGGATCACCAGGGAAGTGAGCTGGAGAATGTGGTGCAGCCATGAGGTTATCTGTCATGAAATTTCCTCCAGTTTTGGGCACTTATCACTGTTTCCTGAGGTTTTACTAATGCAAGAGTTCTGGAAATCGTTGGTTCTATCACTGCTTGTATTATCGCCAAGGCTGCTAAAACCCTTGCATGCCTTCTGTCTTTCTGGGGCTTCCCTAAAGGATCCATGTAAAGCTGATTCAAGCCTTGTCTCCATGTACAACCTCTCCCAGCTGCTAAGCCCTGACTTAAACACTCAAGAATGATGCCATCTCTAGGTGTTTCATACTCAGAGAAGGCAAACTGGTGCCTGAACATTGATTTTTTTAGAGGCAGATTTTTCCCTTCCATTATGTTCCTCTGCTGTTTATCTACACAATCAAATGTATTTGCTCTCAGTGAACCAGTGGTGGATTTACCTTTGTAGCGCAGGCAACAGCAATGAAGATCTGATGGCACAAGCTCAGCAGCTTGGGTACATGCTTCAGGTCTAGTGTGCTTGTGCTCTGATGCCTCACTCCACTGCACAGTCCTAGGTCAAAGCTGCCTGAGTGCACTACTCTCTGCACAGTAACAGCATCTGCTAAGAATGGGACCAGCTGAGTTTTCCTAGAAACAGCTCTTTTGGCTAGATGGCAAAACACTGCAGCATCCAGACCTCCTGCGTGAGATGTGGGATGAGCTGTGTGCTGAAGCCTCAGTAGATGACGTTGATGGCTCAGTCCTGTTCTCCAGTCATTTTCATACCAATTAGTTTTGAATTTGTTATTTTAGAGTAATTCAATTTTGCAGCCCAAAAGCTACCTGGCTCTTCAGTGAATTCTGAATCAGGTTCCAAGCTCAGTCCTTTTTTAATGTGATCCACAAGAATTTGATTGACTATAGCTGCCAATGAGAACTTCTTATAAAATCTAATATGCAGGATTTTGAGCATTATCCTTATATTAAAAGGTGATGGGTGTAGGTTTGACACTTGTTTCTATTGGTTTGCTGCTTGACACAAAGCAGTTCCTGCCATCGCAGAAGCCTTTTATGATTGGAAGTGCATTTTTGCACACAGAGGAACTAAAAGCTGAGTGTGATGGGACTGACTAGTGAACAAGTCATTGTATAGGAATACATGGAGCAACACTTTGGCCTGCTGTGGAAATTAGGCTTTCCTGCAAGGCGTAGGTGTGTGAGCAGAGACAGCAGTTGTCTCAATGCATATGGTTAAGAGTCCTTTTAGTATCTCAGAGGGTGGCTTCAGGCCCTTCAGCACTCTGTCTGGACTGTCTCACAAGGAGGGGGGAGAAGGGGAGGCTGGGAGTGCCTGTCTTTTATAATGTTCTGTTTTTAAAGCAAAAAGTCCCTTGGGAGCATAGGGTCCTAAAAGTCCAAGGCCTGGAATTCTTCCTTTTGCTCTTTCCATTTTAAACAGGAAACATTTGCACTAAGTTATTCCAGGGGGAGAACTGTAGGTTCATTTCAAGGCAGATAATGTTTGTTCATTGCCTATGTCCATGATTTACCCCATGGGCTTAAACGAGTGCAGCAGAAAACCACATGTTTTGTTTTACTTCATGCAAAACAAGTTCCAGTGAGTCTGGGAGCCCAGATTAAGAAAGGGGGAGCATGCTTGTAAAATCTCTGTGTGAACAAGGGAGTCGTTGATCAATTGCGAACACCTGATCTGCTGGACCAGAATGATGGCTTCTATATTAAATCTATGCAAAGAATATTTAAGCAGTTGATGAGTTCAGTCTCAAAGCCACAGAGCAGGTGTAATTGATTTATACTTTTAGCCCCTATTTGGGTCAAAACCCTGTTGTCTTCCTTCAGCTCTCACTCAGAGAGAAGTTTCCTCTGCAGTCAGTAGGAGGCTTTGCCCAAAGTGCAAAGACATTTGCAATCAGACTGGCAAAAACTCCTAATTGAGTTGAACTTTTGGGGATGCTCTGGTGACATGTCTGTAAGAACAATTATTTTTGCCATTTGAAAAGTATCACAAGTTAAGGTGTACTAGGAAAAAATATCAATGCTTCATTAGTGCAAATCATGGAATTAAGATGCAGAAAGCTACAAAGAGGTCTCCATGGCGCATCCCCAGGGATGACATGCTCACATGTTGCTTTTCTCATGAACTAGAGCTCATCAGGTCCATACTGATGCAGATAAGTTACAGGGCTGTTGTAGTATCAGGCTTTCCATATCACAGGAGTTTTTGAAACCCCATTGGCAGCTTGCCCATTAAACACAGGTAACATCCCTAGTCTTTCTTCCAAGAGTTCCAGTTTTTGCAACTGTGGTGTTTGGGAAGTTGTACAGTCTGACATGTTAGGAGGAAAAAATAGTGGGAAATGGCTTGGAAAGCATGAATATTTGTGCATGTAAAGCTCACGGGATTTGCAGTTTTGCAGACCCAACTCATCTGTTTATCCTCAGGCTAGATAAGATTCAGTCAAACATGCATTGTTTAAAGGAGCTGTGTTTCCATTATGGCAAATGGATCAGAGGAGGCTGACTTTGGGCACTGAAGGGCTCCAGTGCTCCGCCATTGTAAAAGGGCTGTGATGTGCACTGGACCTTTCCTCCAACATCCTGGGTGTCACAAACTTTCGTAGCACGCAGGTGGGAGGCTCGTTACCCTTCAGAAGTTCTTTTGATTCATCTGGACCTGTCATGCTTGAGGTGGCATTTCCTTTTCCAAGGTAAACGTAGATTGTGAGTACAATAACGCGTCGCTGGGCTAGCAGGCTGCCTTTTTATGTGCTTCATTATGTTTTTTCCTCCTCAGGCGTGGACCTGCAGAGCCACTGGAATATTTAACAGGGCCACGAGTAGTATACAAAGAGAGAGATCTTCCTTACTACCAAGGAGGACAGCCTGTCATCCACCCATCTAAGGGGAACTACGTCCGTGTGCCAGACACAAGAGTGGCAGAATTGAGGTACCCCCAGTACTACCCAGGCCAGCCCATCACAAACCAGCATAAAGGACCCCTCCGGCAGGATGTGCCACCTTCCCCTCCTCAGTCCCACCGTGCACCAGCGTATAATGAAATTGTCCGACACCGCGGGACCGGTCCAGAACAGTACCAGTACAGGCAACAAGATCCCAGGCAGAAGAACCCCATGACTGCAGCTGTATAGCTACACACTGGACTTGCTAGCACAGCTCGGGAGGAATCCCATCGGACATAATATCCTGGTGGAGTTGTTCCTAAGCGTAGCTGCCTGTAAGAGTGGCACACGAGACCTGGAGTCATTCTTACTGAGCTGGGCTCAGCGTAGGTGCTTTCTAACAGGCAGACTAAAGCCACATGAGGTACGATGTGTTTTGAGTACATGAGGTACCAGACAGTTGAGTATTTTTTAATTCCTTTTAAAAATAGACCGTGGCTGCTGTAAAAGAAGCGCAACACTTAATACACCTCAGGGCTATTTACCGAATCCAGTTACACCTATACAGTATGCAGCTGTCTGTATATACAAAGGGCAGTGGTGTCACCAGAGTTTACTTCAGAGTGCTGTTGTAGAGCCTTTAAGTAGGAACACAGCATGCAATAAGGACTTTGTGCGGAGCTGAGAATCTTGTGTAATCCAGTGTGCGTTGACAAGGGACTGCCACAGAGGTAGTGGCCACATTCCAGGCACGTTCAGACCAGCAGCGCTGTGCTATAAGGATGCTGCAGATTTGTAATCTGGCCTGTCTTCCTCTTTCTGTTTGCTGGTGGCAGCATTTATCTTGTAGCCTTCATTTTTTGCAGGTTGTGTAGCAAGATTTTGCTCTTGTTGCAGCTGCTGCATTTAGAGTAAGACAAAAAGCTTTACCCACCATTCTTGGGCAGGCTCGCAGAGGACAGGGCAGCCAGCCACCCGAGAAACGTGTGTCTGTACGTGTGTGCACTCATGACTGTTTCTTCATTATACAGTATGTTCTCTTCAAATGTAAACCCTGGAGATCAGATCCTCAGCTGCTGCCAGCTCTTGGGGTTTCAGTAGAGCTGGCCTACAAGAAGTGCCTGAGCAGATGCTGGCAGACATGAGCTCCATGATTCATATTAAGTTACTGCATCAGGTGCTGCCTTGGCTCCAGCAGGAGCCCCGCCACAGCCAGGTTACAGCACAGTGCCAGCAGCAGCGTGCCCTGCCCTCACCAGCCTTGCTGCCCCGGGAAGGAGCCTGTCAGTGCAGGGCCACCTGAAGTCCCCCCAGTGGAGCTCAGCCTCAGCCGGTGCCAAGTGCCAAACTACTCAAGTTCCTGCAGCCAGGGGCCATCAGGCCAGTGGGGAATGTTATATGCAGCAGTGCGTAGGAAGAGAGAAGGTGTGGATGAGAAGAGGGGCCAGCAGCACAGCAGAGCTGGAGGGGGGCACAGGGTGGTGGGGTTCGTGCCATCTGTTTGCCCCACACAGCCTGAGCTTGCTCTGCTGCCAGCCAGCCTTGGGGAGGTCAGGAATGCATGTCCTCAGCCACAGGGACCTGTGCTACTGGCCCAACAGGGCCATGGCTGTGCAAAGCTTTGTCTCAAGGGATTTGTCACGGGGAAACCATAGAGTCTTGTCACCTAGAAATACATTTTGAGAAGTTTCCAAGTGCCCTTAACTCCTTGACTTCTGCCTTGATAGCAGAGTGCTATTAAGCCATTTGGGCTCCTCTCCTCATCAGGGAGAGGCTGTGACCTGGCCACGCGTTAAGCTCAAGGATTTCTTTGATGTCTTTTTGACACCTTTGGTATGCAAGAAATTCAATCACGTAAGTCACTTCCCAGGTATTAAATATCACCAGCAAGGTTTGTCCTGCTAGGATCATGTCCCTTTCCTAGATACCCCTGGGAAAAGGGCTTGTTAGAGCAAGAGTTCTGGAAGGCCCAGAGCATGGTTCTCATCAGGAGCCACCACCAGTAATGGCCCTGATGAGAAGCAGTGTTTAAACCCAGCCAACGTTTCTTCTGTGCTGCTAATGCCGGTGAGAGACTGGCATAACCCTGAGGCCTGAGGAGCACATGTAGCTGCCCCGCAGACTCTGTCATTTGCATTCACACCAATCTGTACCCACCAGCCAGGCTGGGAAGCAGGGGAGAGGAGACAGGTTTGGGGTAGTGGGAGAACATCTCCATGATTCAGACGTAGGGCTGGACTCCCTAGGGCAGGGGCAGGCACAGCTCTAAATCCAGTCAGGAGGAAGCATTGGTGGGAGGGAGAGAGGGAGAGGAATGCAACTGATTATGGAGCAAGTTCAGTTCTCATTCCATGTCTTTCTGCCCTCTTCCCCAGTAATGTAGGAGGGAAAAACCTCTGGAGGGAGGGTTGAATGTAAGGCTGGACGTCTCTCGGTACCCTCCATAAATAAGGCACATTCCCCAAGGAAACTCTGCCTGTCGCGTACGTGCTGTACAGAGCCCTGTACTTCTCTCAAAGAGTTTTAGATGCTGCAGGATACTGAGCCAGGACTTGGCAGCCACAGGGTAGCCGCTGGTGTTATGAAGGCCTGCTGAAAGTGAAGCAAAAACAAATTAAAATACTTTCCTTTCCCTCCTTGAAATATAACCCCTGATACATTTGATCCAGCTGTAAAGAAACTAATAGGTTTGTGACAGTGGCTTTATCAAGCCAGGCCACAATTAAGAACAGCCCTGAATATAAGCTGCCGCCTTTGTAAATCACCCTCAACTAACCCTTCAGATGGCATCACAGTGAACAGTACTTACTTACAGTGTTTCAAGAGCCAGGGCCAAATAAAATCTGGATAGAAACAGCTCCTGCGTTATTTTTAGCTTTTGAAGGACCTGCGCAATTGTCTGCCTGTAACCTGAATCTCTCCTTAGAAGCTCCCCTTGGCTGCATTGGCTCCACTTGGTTGAGGTGGACAGATCAACAAAACACCACCTGAGCTGTAAATCTTACCCAGCAGATTATTAAGTGATGCTTCTGCTGTTAGATCAGTGCAGAGCGTCTTCCGAAAAAAGGGGAAAAAAAAGAAAGTATAATATATGGATGCATCCTACAGGTGAGGGGTGCAGAACAGTCTGACCTAACCGGGGGAACAAGACCAAAAAGTATTACAGAGCATCTCATCAATCTCTGGTGCCATTGTTCTGGGAGAAAATTACCATTTGCTGGTTTAATATCTGGTCGAGGTATGGTATTTTCAAAAGTATAACGTGTAACTACAGTATATATAGTCAGCTTCTCTGCAGTGTAAAATGTATGATTTTAGCACCATATTGTGGAAAAATATGTACCGTGCAGAATTCACGAGGTGCTACAACTGACGGTTGAAAATACACACTTGCAAAATCCAAAAGAGCCGTTAAGTAACAAGTTGTTCTTTTCCCCATATGTCCATATGTTTGGGAAAAATTATGAGTCTGAAATGCTCTTGACACGTAATTGCCTCGCGCTCCCTCATCCAAAATGTGCCAGTCCAGCAGTGAAGTTACTGACGTAGTGGGTGTGAAGGGAGAGGTGGGGTTTGCCCCAGGAGCAGCGTGCAGTAAGTGTGCGTGCGAGCAGGAGTCGGGACAAGGGGGAGAGCGGCCCGCTCTCACGTGAACCTGCAAGCTTTGGTTTCCTGAGCTGGTGGCGTGCAGCCTGCCTTTCTGGCTCTGGCTCAGGGCCAGCCCGGGCCCAGCAGTTGAAAGATTAAGAGATAAAAAGAGAGCCTGTGGATTTTCTGAGTGACCACCCACTAGTGAGCCATGGTCTTGGCTTGCAAGCTGACACTACCACTGTGATATATTACGATGCTGAAGTCTCTAGGTACCTCTCGAATGCATAAAGAAATAGCAATTGCCCGTTGGAGGGAAAAAAAAAAAGGGGGGGGGGGAACTAAGCATTAAAGAAAAACTAAAGGCTTTTGCCTTTTCAAAGTGCATGCAGCCCTGAATTCCAGTTCACTCCAGCTTCCTGACCTACAAGTAGCTTCACATGCTGCCTAATTTTTTTACAGATGAATTGTGCTACCTCCTCCTCCCAGCCATCACAGATTTGTTTGTCAGAGAGTTAGTGCTGTGAATGAATCCTGCCGGCTGCTCTGCCAGGGCCACATCCTGACACTGCTCTGAGCAGGGGCTGCTTTGCACTCCCAGAAGGCCCTACACCATCTCTGTCACAGTAGTTGTGCAGGGTCTTTAAGCCTTAGGTGCGGAATTGGAAGCGCTTATTCACTATCTGCACAGAAGAGAAGGCTTTCTAAGACATTGTTCTGTTATTGTGAGGGAGAATGGTGGTTGTGATCCTGACAATATCTGCATGTTTAAATGAAACTGATTTTAAAGTCATGTGCGATTGTTTTGGGGGAGAAATTCAACACAAGATTTGAGAGGTTTTTTTCTAGTACCACCTCAAAGATTTTAATCTTTTGTTACATATGGCTATATAAATTTTACCTGGTTTATTTTGCATTAAAATAAAGGCTTTAAGACTATGTATGATTTTGTATTTGTGTGTAGAATCCTCCTCACCTTTGTATCTAAAAAGTCATCCCCACACCTGGGTGTGATTTGATATGAAAAGATCATGTGTGATCAGGCCAGATCAAAATTGGTAAGGTGACTTCTTAAAAAAACCACCAAAAACCAGCCATGCACTGCCTTATAGAGAAAAACATCACAGGGCTTAGCTTGGTTCCCTCTCAAATCTGTATTGTCTTTAGTTATAGAGCTGGAGTCCTGAAGCCATAGCCCTTGAAAGGAGAAGTGAGAGAGAATTCCCTTGCCACTGTGGTGAATTTCAGCTCAGGAAACCGCACATTCATGGCTGAAGCTCTTGCTGTTGGTAAGAACCGAGGTGTTCTGCAGCTGTTCAGCAGGTACCAGGTCCAAGCAGTATTTCAGTGAGATGGCTGCAGCGCTGTCTTGCCAGAGATTTAGGACTCCCTGAAAGTTTTACACAGGTACTTCACTGGAGGTACGTGGGTCATTGCACTCATGCTGATGACACTACTTTTCGCGCTCCAGATTATGTGCCAGCGTAAATCTTTGTCGCAGCACTGAGATTCAGGCAGTCATGTTATGTTAGATGAAGTAATTTTCCAAGTAGCAAATACTTACTGAAAAGTCACCAAAACAAGGAGAAGGAAGAATACAGACCTTCTGAGAGGAAGTATTTTTTACTACAAAGGGAAACGGTGAAAGAACAAAACAGAAGGACAGAAAAGTGTAGAAGGCTTACAATGCAAGATACAGCAGAAATTGCAGTAGTGGTTCAGTAAAAATGTATGTGTACTGCACTCCGAAGCATTTTGAATGCCAAGTTCATGGGCAACTCTGAGTCAGTTTTAGCAGGCATTAAATCATAATCCATAGAGATGCCAATTTTAAAAGTCACTGCATCATAACTTGCACTCATAGCTAAAAAACGGGCAAATGAAACACCGCTACCTCAGTTTCTCCTTCTGCTGAGGTTGTACAAATAGTGCCAAAAATCAAACAAGGGGTGTATTAAAAGCTGGAAGCTCAGTGACCACAGCTTCAGAAGGTGCTCCTTCTGCGTTGGCAGTGGTCTCCCATGGTTTCCCCATGCCAGGGCTCACTTCCCTGGGACCTGGGCTCAAGTTAACATCTGTTTTGCAGTCACTGCTGTGTCTGCATGAAGAAATCCCTTTGATTGTTAATTATTTTTACTGAACCAGACTACACCCTCATGGGACCTGCATCCTGCTGTAAGACTCTCTGCACAGTGGCTCTCAGAGCTGTTGGGTGAGTAACCCAACCCACTGTTGGGTGACTAACCCTCATGCAGTGACATGCTGCAATGTGGGAGCAGTTGAGCACTACCCAGGGGCAGAGCATAGCAGCCTCTCCGGGCTGAGGAGCTGTGCTACCTGGGAGGCTTTCTGGGAGTAAAATGCCATTACCAAGATTGGAGTGGAGCTGGGCTGCTCCTGCAGCCTCCCAGAAGGTATTGATTGAGCTAGAGGCTTCTGGCTCAAAAGCTCCAGAGGCCTTCTGAGGAGGTTGCTCAGGCTTCCTGTGCTTGGTGTGCTTATCTCTCCAGAGAAGGTGCAGAGGCATTCAGGCATGGCTTGGGAAAGCACGGTAACAAATGAGACTGAGAAGGGATCTTTCTTCCCAATCACGGGATCTGCTCTGGGGAGCATTGCTCTGTTGCTGGTTTTCCCCATGGGCTGGAAAGGAGTTGCCTGATACAGGCAACCAGAGAGACAGGATTGCTCTGGGAATGGGGAAGGAGAGGTGAGGGGGGTGAGTGAGAAATGATAGGGGCAGGCAACTGGAGCAAAGGAAGAGGGATTCAAAAAAGAGGAAGGGAAGAGGAAGGGGGGGGGGGGGTGAGGCATGTCAGACCTAATCAAGAAATATATGGTGGAGAGAGGGGTTTGTCCCCGATGTGTGAACGTCACATACCAACAAGGAAGGTGGCATTTCCTGATACCACTGCTCCCCAGTTACCATTTTGCATTCCAGGTTTGTGACACCCCTCCACTGAGGCCAGAATCAGGACCTGCTTGCAGTACAAAGCTACCTGTGCCTGAGGGAGGAAGCAGAAGGGCAAGTAGGAATTGTGAGGAAACCCATCAACTAGCATGGAGAATGAGAGAGAGACGCCCCTCACTTGTCACCATCCCCTCCCCTAGTTCACATCTTGCCACTCAGGTCTTACAGCCTGCTCCCTACACTCCTCCCTTCACCTCCCTGGGTACCACCGACACCACAAAGTCCCCTTCCCTGACTGCCTCTTTCATCCTGGGTTCCCCCGATATCTGACATCCCCAAAGCCGTGTTGACCTTCAGACACAACTTTTGCCTTCACTGCTGAGAAGCCTCGAGCCATCTGTGAGGGTAGGTAACCAACACCAGACTTTTACTGGCACCTGAAAGTGATACAGAGCCAAAGCACGCGGCCCCCAGGGCTG